CCACCCAGCCCCAAATCATCGGACTGAGGGCCTTTCTTGTGCCACCGCTTCGTTTTGGCCATGGCCTTCTCTTCACTTGGTTAACCTCCGTCTCTACTCGTCCATTGGCTGCATGGTCATCGCCCGCCGTCATGGTGAGCAACAGATTGTGTTCCAAGCACCACTGCTGCACCGGCTTGGCCAGGGACTCCTTTGCCCTATCGCAACGCATGCGGTACAGCGGGATGCCCAGGCTGCGATACTGCACAAAGATCAGGCTGATGGCCCTGATCTGCGCTCCTTGGTGCCCTGCACCGTCACTGCCCAGTCAGCGCCGGCCATGATGCAGACTACACAGCAACACGAGTCTAAGCAAAGTTTCTTCAGGCTGCACTGCCTTGTAGCCCTCTGCACTTGAATGCCTTCTGATCTGCATGTTGTGCCTGCAGCTCTGGACGCATGGCACTTTCCCTGCATGCTTGCCACATGTTGAGCCTTTCCCCAGAGCCCATGCTCGGAGCTGCAGAGAGACACTCATTCCACATGTCTCCGACAAACAAAAAAAAACATGCATGTCCAGCCTTCACGGGCTTCACAACTTCAGGTTTCTTCACAAGCCTGCATGGGCTTCCTATCAGCTTGAAAAGCCTGTATCTTCGCTGTCGTTTCTTCGAGCCTGCAGGGGCTGAGCCAGCATCCAAGTGCTTCGCCTTCACATATTCGTGACTCTTGCTTAGGAGCCTTCACAGGCTTCCCGCAGAAATAAAAAGCATCCATGTGCTTCCTCCCTGATTCTCCTCGAGGCTGCTGAAAGTTGCTGTCGCAGACCTGCTTCTTTGCAAGCTTGCGTGCTCCATGCATGCACGATTTCTTCCACAGAAACCACAAAATGATAACATATTTCTACACCACATGAGAAAGAAAGACTTGAAAAACATGTTTGGGAGCCATTGCTTTATTTGTTCCAGACAAACTGAACTGCTTTTTTGGACCTGAAATATGCGACTGCTACTGCTGCCTTTGCTTCAATACATGAGCTGTTTGAACCAGATCGAACACTCAAAGACATGGCGCGTCACACGCTTCACAACAAGAGAAGGTTCTTCAATCCAGACGGACTATCCTGTTTGAGTGATGACTTTTTTTCCACGGGATGATTCCCGCAGCGCAGGCAATGCGGCGATGGCATGGGAAGGTTTGCCTTGAGAAGAACAGCTTGCATTCCTAGATGACGTGACGGGGAACGTTCGCGACTACAAGGTTTCCTCTCCGCCTCAAACGATCATGAACAGAAGAGGCGATTCAGATTGGCGTCTTGCTCTCATGGCCATCATCAAGAAAATTAAAGAAGACCCAACACCACCGAGAGCACCAAAAGAGAAGAGGGACAACAAGTGGCAGAACACAAGGGACACTCCTCAACAAAGTGCTGGTCAGGTTCACGCACCTACTGTCACAGGAACTCACCACAACAAGGCAACTGGCGCAAATACCAATGGAAGTGAAACTCAATTTCCTACGACAACCGCGACATGGCTTCCTTGAGCAATCCTGCGCAGACAGGGTTTCAGTTCGAAAGCGAGACAACAGAAGATGCGACGATATCCTCCGCCACCCTTTTTCCACCTCGACCAACCATTTTCCTTGATACCGCATGGATGTGACGACATTTCTTCACGAACTATATCGACTGAATGCGAGGTAGGCAATCCGTTTGACACAGCCGAAGACACATACGGAGTGTCTCTTTTTGCTCAAGTAGCATTTCTAGACAGGCCTACCAGCTGTCCGTCATTTGAGCACAGATCTCTTTTCACGACACGGCTACAGTAAATCGCATGGCTACGGCGCAAAAGCCTTTAGTAATTAGGTGCTTGCCAGGCAGTTGGGCCGTTTTGGCTCAAGGCCTTTCTTAGTCTCACTTACTCCCCTGTTAGCCTATTGCCAATGATAGGAAGTTACATAGCCTAGGGACGGGACACAAAGGGCATTTGCGCCTGCGCAGGCTGGATTCACAGCGCGAGGGATCGGATGGCTGGATTCACAGCGCGCACAATCCAGGAGCTTTCTCATATTCATTACTTTGACACTCGTTGTGTTTACGAAGAGAAGTAGAGACTCGTTGTGTTCCGAGAAGTAGATTGAAAGGGCTACTCTTGGAAAGGGGCTTTGTACACTTCCCTATTAGAGGGTGCTGTCACTTGCCTAGGGGCTGGGGTAGGGGGGTTGCCTGAGCCTTGGGTTGAGGTGCCTTGGCGAGATATCTAGATGTTGTTTTTGATACCCCCAGCCTGACTACTTGAAGCTGGCCAGCTTTGCCCGGTGATGTTAGCATGACTGCAACAGCGTACTAGAAATCATTTTACCGTCCGCAACAGCAATGATATAAAACCCAACCTTTCAGTTTCGCTCTACCTGGCGGTCTGGGGTTGTGGTTTGGAGGTGGTCCGGCAATTTCTCATTTGGCACACGAACCAGTGTTCAAAGCCTAAACGCAATCCAAACCATCAATTCAGAGTCTCTTCATTGCTGAAGGTTCTCAGCAGCTGCGAGCGCGCCGAGAAGTGGCAGACTGCGCTCCTGGTGCTGGACGAGCTCCAGACGCATCGCGTGGACTTGGGGGGTTGGGGGGAGGGGTTTGTTGGTGCTTCCTGAAACTTGTTGGGGGCCCTTTTCAGCTCTTGTATGTTCATTTTTGCTTGTGGTCCCTGGGAACAGCCGATGTTTTTGTAGTTCCCTTTAAGTGCCACCAACAGCGTGTCCTCCATTTGAGAAACTCACTTCCGTGTTCTACGGCGAACTCTGGAGGTAAAACGAGCTCATCATGATGTAGGCCCTTTGCTTAGGATCCCTGATTTGACAGTACTTTAGAGCTATCATTTCTAAATTGCAGTTTGCTTGTTCTAAGGTTGAACTTTGGAACTGGTTTGCGTTTAATTGTTTTTTTTGAGCCGGTGCCAATTGGATTGTTTCACAGGGGGGCCAATGCTCTGTGCATTCAATTACCCAGGGCTTCCGCGGAAAATTGCAAGGTTTCACCGGCGCACTTGTGCGGTTCTGGGCCATTGCCACACGAAATGTCAACCGCAATCAAGTGACTCTTTGCCCTCCTACAACATGGAAGGCATAAACGACTTTTTGAAGCATCGCGAAGGGTTCTTGCGCGCGGAGCTCTTGGACCAACTTGCATAGAGCCGAGTGCATAGACATGGAGCCAAGTGCATAGAGCAGTGCATAGAGCCAAGTGCATAGAGCCAAGTGCATAGAGCCAAGTGCATGGAGCCAAGTGCATAGAGCAGCGCATAGAGCCAAGTGCGTAGAGCCAAGTGCATAGAGCCAAGTGCTTAGAGCCAAGTGCGTGGAGCCAAGTGCATAGAGCAGCGCATAGAGCCAAGTGCATAGAGCCAAGTGCATAGAGCCAAGTGCATAGAGCCAAGTGCATAGGGCCAAGTGCATAGAGCCAAGTATGGAGCCAAGTGTGTAATAGAGCCAAGTGCATAGAGTCAAGTGCATAGAGCCGACTGCGCAGAGCCGAGGCAGAGAGCGGAGTGCAAAGAGCCAAGTGACAGAGCCGAGCGCATAGAGCCGAGTGCATAGAGCCAAGCGGCATATGGCACTTCGGCGGTAGCAGCTATGTAAGTTAAGTTTAGCTTCTAGGGCGCCGGGGCAGGACTTTGATCGTCGATCGGGGATCGGCGTGGTCGAGGTGCAAAAACTCCAGGTTTTTTGTGCCCGCGCGACCCTCTGCGGGGATTGGCGTGGTCAAGGTACAAAAACTCGAGGTTTTTTGCGATTTCTGATCTGACGCGACCTTCTGCGGGGATCGGGGTGGTCGAGGTGCAAAAACTCCAGGTTTTTTCTTTTGCGTTTTTGCGGTGCGCGGATGAACCCTCTGCGGGGATCGTGCGTGTCGACGCGCTCTCGCTGCGAATTCGTGTTAGTCTCGGCGAACCCTCTGCGGAGATCGTGCGTGTCGAAGCGCTCTCACTGCGGCGCCGTGCGATTTTATTACTCGCGAAATGGTCTTTGGAAAGTTGTCTCGTGGTTTGCGCGCCTGCTTTCGCAATCGCGCAAGCCGTAGTATGTGGAGTGTACTCCTGGCGGCTCCGGCCAGGAAATCGCAACGCTGAAGCGCAGACGTATAGTGCGCGGAGCACCTCCACAGCTCAGCTCAGGCTGAGCATCTTGCGCACAGATACAAGCGCCGAGCGTCTTGCGGAGAGAAACTTGCACAGAGCAGCGTGCGCAGAGCAGCTTGAAGACCGATGTCGAGCCACTTGCGTGGAGCAGCTTGCAGAAAGCAACTTGCGCGCAGCAGCCTGGAACAATGCAGCTTGCGCAGACACTGAGATGGAGCTCTCATGTGACCATACACATTGAGCGTCGCTGCGCAGATACGCTCGCCGCATCGGTGTCTCCGCGGCTGGAAGAGCGCTTGGGGAAAAATGCTTTCGGGCCAATCGTCCTCTAGTTTACAGCTTTT